CTTCTTCTTCTTCTTCTTCTTCTTCTTCTTCTTCTTCTTCTTCTTCTTCTTCTTCTTCTTCTTCTTCTTCTTCTTCCTCCTCCTCCTCCTCCTCCTCCTCTTCCTCTTCTCCTTCTCCTTCTTCTTCCTCCTTCTCTTCCTCTTCCTCCTACTCTTTCTCCTCCTCTTTCCCCTCCTTCTTTCTTCTACTAATACTTCTGTTTCTTTCTTTATTTATTTTTCTTTCTTTATTTATTTATTTTTCACTCTTTCAACAAATGCTAGTGTATCTGAAAAGAGTGGAATTTAGCAGCAGAAACTCTGCCCTGATTATAAACTGTTCTTCTCAATGGATGATGGCTCCTCAAGAATATAACTCATAAAACAATATGTCTAGAATACATAATCTCAAAATTAAAGATCTGATCAGAATAATGCATGTGTTCTAATCCCAGTCTCAGGAATGGGGTAGATCATTGTGCCCAAGAGAATTCTGGGTCCTGTCACTCTGACTGACTCAGTGGCTAATAGTTATTAGTTACCTTGGAGTCTGCCTCTTTACAAAGCTCAGGAGCTTTAATGATTCCCTGATGAACTGCATAAAAGCCACAATAAAACTGGGGTTATCTCGTGGACCTCAAGTGAAAGCAATTAAAAAGGTTTCCCTTGATACTGACAGCTGCAATAGCAGAAGCATTTCTACTCATAGACAAGGGGAGAGAAGCTGCCTCTGCTGTATCCCTCTAAATATCAGTGTGGAACATGGACTCCCCTGCGTGGGAAGCACTAGGCTGTAACAGAGACACGGTTCTGCAGGTTTTTAAAGTTCATTTCTAACCTTGTATCCCTGTTTCTTGCAAAACCATTTGTGCTTACAGAGCTGGTGTGATACTCAGCGTATACATTACTGTCACCTTTCATTCATGTGGAGCACAGAACCCTAGCTACCTCTGACAGAGAAGCAGTACAGACTCTTGAGTTTGTCCTTTATTGATGTGTTTTCTCTTTCTTTCTTACACTGGACTCATCTAAAAAAATTATTAGTCTTTCTTGAATAGCGAGCTGCTCTCTTCAAGCAGCCAGAGACATCTGCCTTGTCTTCAAAGAGTCTCACTCACAGTGTGGCTAAGGGAACTCGGCTGGGGAGGAAAAGTGAGCACAAAGGGAGAACATGAAAACCCCGTGCCAGCTGTGCCGGCTGTGCCAGCTGTGCGAACAACAGCCAGAAAGCTCGCTGGACACGTCAGGAAACAGAAAATAGCCACAAAAATGCATCTGTTGGAAGAGCTCGGAAGCTCACAGGACACAAGTGGCCTTTGACCAGCTTTCCCCCAGAAGCCCAGCCCAATGAGCTGCCCAGCCCATTCTACCATCCTCCCTGCAGTCCCGAAGGTTCCTGTCTCAGACGAGCTAGCCTCGAGCCAGAAGCATCTTCTGCCCAGCAGTGCTTCAGCAAAATCCTTAATAGGTTATTAAGCTTTTAATTATTTCTGCAGGACTGGAGAGATGGCTCAGTGATTAAGAGCACAGACTATTCTTCCGGAGGACCTATGATCAATGCCAGCACCTACACGACAGCTCACAACTCTCTGTCCAGTCCCAGGAGGGAAAGCCTAAACCCTCTTCTGGCCTCCAGAGGCACTGCACACATATGCCACACAGATACACATACAGGCAAAATGCCTGTACATAATAAATATATATATATATAATGAAATTAGAAATGTCAATTGTTTCTGAAAAGAAATCCTACCTTCTTCCTGCATTTCCTGCCGCATGTGGCTAACTACACAATGTGTCCATCACAAAGGGTTGGACTAGACCTTCATAACTGTAAGGACTTCATGCAGAAAGTTCTGTCTGGTGACATTCCCCAGACTCATGGGTTGTAATCTGATCAGCAAGATGACAGCATCTAGGGGTAAGGCATTGAGGGAGGAGGAGGCTGTGAAGGAAGAGCCCTCCAGAGTGGGGTCATTGTCCTTATTAAAGAGTCCAGAGAGCTGCCCACTCCATCCAACAGGTGTGAATGCAGAGAGAAGGCTGGAGCCGACAATCTACGAACACTTGACCTTGGTCCTCCAGCCTCCAGAACTATAGGAAATAGATGTCTACTGTCTAGGAGCTACACACTGGGATATTTTGTTCTTGTCACATTAACTAATGAGTACAGCACACCAACACAAAACTGCTCAGCCACTGAAAAGGCCCAGAACTTAATGGTGTCAGAATTGAGCAAACTACCAAAATCTCCATTCCACTGGAACCTATTTCCCATCATTCCATTACCGTGCTTGGAATGTACAGTGTCCTCTAACCAAGGCTCACGGGTTTGAAGACTTGGCCCATGAGACAGGGCCTAACTGCAAGAAGCCAGTCACTGGGGGTCAACCTAGAGGTCTCTCAGCTCAGCCCCATTTCCTGGATTTCTCTCTGATTTCTGAACATGACGCCATGTGACCAGCTGCCTCAGGCTTCTGTCACCATGCCTTCTCTACCGTGTTGGGCTGTACCCTCTTGAACTCTCAAGCCAAACAATCCTTCCTCCCATAAATCGCTTCTTTTGGAGTATTTGATGACAGTAACAAGGTGAGAGGTACATCTGTAAGAGGAAAGTGGCGGGCTGCGCTTTCGCCTGGATCCTGGCTAGCTTACCCCTGCAATAATTATACGGAAACTTTATTTATTTAAACACTACCTGGCCCATTATCTGTAGCATCTTGTTGGCTAACTCTCTCATATTGATTTAACCCATTTTTAATAATCTGTATCTTACCATGAGGTCGTGGCTTACCAGGAAATATTTAGCATGTCTGACCTGGCAGCTTTATGGCGGGCGGCTTTCTGACTCTTTTTTTCTCCCAGAATTTAGTTCTGTCTTTTCCACCTACCTATGTTTTGACCTATCAGGCCAGGCAGTTTTCTTTATTAACCAATGAAAGTAACACATAGACAGTTAACCCTCCTCCATCAGATACAGCCATTGACCATTGAGATGTGCATTACATCAGTCTCCATCAGAGTCCCATGCTGTCCCTCACACAGCAAGCACTGAGCATCTGTATCCTGAAGACCTGTACCAAGATCCAGAAAGGGTCCCCAGCAGGACTTCTGTGATGGGGTGCTGAGGTCTGTGCTGTTCTGGACCGGAAAGTCTCAGTCTCTCTTATTGCTCCTCCATCTTCCTTCTCCTCGTCACCTTGCTTCCCTCTTGCCCTCTCTTCTTTCCTACCTCTTTCTTACACACACACACACACACACACACACACACACACACACACACACACACCACAGTCATGTGTATTTGTTCTGTGCAAACAAAAAAAGGCAATTAAATCTGTCAGAAGAGCCCCAACACCTGTTCAGTGTCAGCAGGGGTTAGAGTCTGAGAAAGAAGGAGAAACGTCTCCCTTTCCAGTCCTCAAACTTTCTTCCTCATATAGTGGGAATGAACAAAAGTAAACTTTACATAAACAGGTATTCATTTTACATGTACAATATCATGGTCCATGGTACATGCTCACAAAATAATCACTATGTTCTTCTGATAAAATAAAAGTGAGGTTTTCCTCATCTTCTCCTACAGGCCTTGTATCATCCTTTAAACACATTGTTCTTTCTGGGACCTTGTCAGCTTTTTACCAGCATCTCTTCAAAGACAGACAGTCAGCAACTGCACTTAAAGAAGAGTCGTTGCAACCTCTTCATCAGAATGAACTTGCTTTGGTTTTGTGGTTGTAGGAATTAACCCTCAAGCCTCACGCAAGTCAGGGATAAACTCTACAATGAAACTTCAACCCAGCCTTTTTCCATTTACTTTGTATCTTTAGACAAACTGTGTCTTGTTAACTGATTCAGATTTGCCTTAAGCTCCAGATTCGGTATCTTCCTGTATCAGCTCTCCAAGTAACTGAGATTAGAGGATTTCACCACCTGGCTTAAATCTTTCGAATTAATACTAAATATTTAACTTAATTGGTAGGTATCTTCTTCCCTGTTGAATCCCAGTAAACCCCCTCTTCTCTAATTTGTCTGTGTGTGTATGTCTGTGCACACAAACATGCACACACAAACGTAGGCCACAGCTGTGAGCCCGTGTTTGTGGAAGCCAGAAGACATCAGGTATCTTTCCTCAGGAACAATTCACCTTGTTCCTTTCTCAGGCAGGGTCTCTCACTGGCTTGTAGCTTTCTGACTAGGCTGGCCTGCTAGACGATGACCTCCAAGGATCTGCCTGTCTCTCCCTTGCCCGTACTGGGATTACAAGGGCACACCAACTTTTCTTTTTCTCTTTTCTTCTTTTCTTTTTTCTTTTTCTTTTTAGATTATTTATTTTATGTGTATGAGTGCTCTATCTGCATATATGACTGTATGCCCAGAAGAGGACATCAGATCCCACTATAAATAGTTGTGAGTCACCATGTGGTTGTTGGGAGTTGAACTCAGGACCCTTGAAAGAACAGCTAGAGTGCTCTTAACCACTGAGCCATCTCTCCAACCCTTATCCTTTCTTTTTTTAAATGTGGATTCTGGAGATCAAACTTGGCTTCTCCTGCTTACATGTATGCCAAGCATCTTATCAACTGATCCATCTCTCCGGAAGTTTGTTACTCTCCAAACACTCATTCTCCTGAACATCTTTGGATGACCATGTTTTTCTCTTGATGCTGACCCCCAAAAGAAGCTAATTCCTTTTAGAAACCAGGGGTTGTCTTGTTCCCACACAGTACCTACACTCTATGAAGAGCCTGCCAAGGATAAATGACACCAAGTCCTTAATTGTTCTTAAGAACTCATTTTCCTGGGGGTGAGAAGTGGTGCTTAGAGGACAAAGCAATCAATAAGAGTATGTGAGAACTGTCAAAGCCCAGAGCTGGAGCATAGGAGGAGACCGCACTATTCAGGGCTGACTCCTGTCGTGGAAATCATACTTCATCTACTGTTATAAAGAAAGATCTGCAAGCTTAAAACTAAACCCACCTAATAACTGCTGGGGGGGTAAGGGAGGGCTGGGGCAGAAGGCTGAGGCAGTCCTTTATTCTTAGGCAGCTGGTGTGTGTGTGTGTGTGTGTGTGTGTGTGTGTGTGTGTGTGTGTGTGATGGTATCCCAAGTGCAAGAGGGAAAGAGTCTCTTTGGGAGGCAGAGGCAGGAGAATCACTGCAAGTTCAAGGACAGCTGTTCTGCATCACAGGCTCCAGGACAGCCAGAGCTGCGCAGCAAGGCTCCGCCTACAAACTCGTGAGACTGCATTAGGGGAGTGCGAGCTCTCCACGCTGATGAGGATAAACAGGGAAGTCGAGCAGGTTGTTCTTAAGTCAAAACTTTCAGAGCAAATAGGATTATCTGAATGATTATTTACATAATATATATAATTGATTAGAGTGAGTATTTATAACAAAAAACAATGTATTTTAGGATATCACTGGTAATGTGTGTGGGCTAAAATGTCTGGTTATGTTCCCTCTAATCATATTGTCTAATAATTTCATTCCACTGCCTAAACCTAGAAATCACATGGATTTCATCTGAGTAAAAGATAAATTAATCGTGGCGTGTAAAACAGCGTTTCCTCAATGAATAGAAATGCACTGAATCCCAGGAAGTTAGAAGTTCTCTCATGACTCAGAAGACAGCGTTAAATGGGATTCCCTAGTCGAGAAAAATAGTTAAGGAGGGGTAGGAACCCAGCAATTTTTCTTTCTGTCCCTTCTGTACCAAAATCAGTCCAAGTCTAGGGAAGCCATAAGGTGACTCTTTATTGGGCCTGAAGAGAACAACACACCAATGCTCTCACAGTTGAGAATCCAATTGATAGTTTTGAATCACTCCTAAGATGTTGGATGCTAAACACGGAAATTACATCACGAGCCCCTCTGAGCCCTCTCTGTGCTCAGCCCTCTCTGTGCTCACCCCTGGAAGTCTGTCTTTCCTGGCCTCCCCACCCTGCCCAATGCAGCCGAAGGGTGTTTAGCGACCGCACATCTCCCTGGCCTAACTTCTGCTCCACCCAAACCCTGAACCATTATGGTTCACAAAAGTGTACATCTCAAATATCTGGCTTTTCACCTGTGAATGGAGGTGAGGATAATTTAAAACAAAAACAAGCTGAGCTCTCCGAAATCAACAGACACAGCATCTGTTTGTGAATATTACCTTTTTCTTGGATGCTTCTGACTTTTTTGACATGTTCTTCAACTTTTTATGCAGATGATTAAGGACCTGCAAAATGCAGACAGATAAAAACGGTTTACTTCATGCTTTTGTACACATTGTCTCTTTTTCAGTGGCAACCACTGACCATTCCACTATGATAATACTATTCTTTATAAAGCAATAAGAATAGAAATGCAGCTCAGATCAAAACATCCCTGAATCAAAGCCACTGAATGTGTTCGGAGGTGTCCCTGGAAAACAGACCACACCCTGACATGGATAGAGCCACAGAGAATGCTAACATGCTCAGAGTTTCTTGGAGAAAGACCCTCACCTGGGGTGGGGATGGGGCTTAGTCATGCAATCCACTGTTCTACTTGCTTTGGTTCTTTCTGCCTAAAAGCACTAGGTCTTACTATACGTGGAATGCGACATCAGCTCAGAGACACACTGGAAACAAGAAACCCGGGCTATGGGAGTTCATGATCCAGTGCTGAAAGGCAAGTGAACAAGGAAGAGAATACAGCCTGACATTTGACATTTCAGTGTGCTCCCCAGACCTGCACCAGTTACTGTGATTGCTATGGACCCCACCCATTACAAATCTCTTAGAGCAAAGAGCAAGCCGGCAGTGGTCCTTTCTTGTATAATTCAAACACCGTGTGGGCTTCAGACACTCCCTTTTAGGAATTCGGCATCACTGGTGGCTGCAGGTTTTGCCCTGACCATATGTATCCAAGAGATAAGCTAGCTTTAATACACTGAGAAGCCATCCTGTTCTCTTGACACTGTCATATTTGGGAGATATGATTTGAATATTGTTGTTGCTATTATTTATAGGAATTCACAATCTGAACTTGTTCCACTTGCTCCATGGTGCCTACCCTGCAGAGCTGGTCCCAGGTTTGTTTTCTCTGCTCTGATGGAGACCCTGAAATAAATGACAAAGCGCTTGAAATGGGCTGCAGATTTCTGAAGAGGCACTCAGGACACAGAGGCATGTTCCAGCCACTTGAATATTCCCCTCCAACACCGCAGCATGGAAATAATTTAATTGAATTGGCCTTCCAGCCGAAGCCTGCTCCAATCCGCTGGAAGCAGCACCATCATCCGTCACGTCCTAATTGAGAAACCTCAGGATTCATTTACCAGCCTTCCCTCCCCTAGCAGCCAGAGCAGGCAACCTAGCAGCTGTCTCCGGGTGCGAATCGCTGTCTTCCTGCCCTGCAGAGCCCTCTTCTCGCTGCTGAAAACACCTCAGTGCCTCTCAGCCACACAAGTCTTTGCTGGCGACGGGAGCAAGTGAACAGCTCGCTGAGACACTGACGCTGAAGTAGTTCTGTTCTGCCCACAGAAAATACGTAGAAGGCAGTAAGCCAGAAGTTTGCAACAGCCGCAATGAGAAAAACTTGTAAGAGAAAGGTGAGGGCTGGAGCCAGGAGGCCGCTGTTGGAGTCAGTACTAGGGAGCTAGCTGGCAGCAGCTGGCAAGTTTGTGAATGCCCATATGTAACAGCAGCAACAATATTTATATTCTTCCTCACAGGCATGAGAAGAAAACAGAATGGCTTCTAAGCAACTACTCTAGCTGGAAACATCTTTTGCAAAGATGCTAATATTTGCAAGCTTATTAAAGCTAGCTTATCTCTCTGACAGACATGCTAAGTGCAAAAACTGCAAGATAGTCATAAATCACCAGTGACGGTGAGTTCCTAACGGAAGTTGTCTAAAGACCATAGATCACTAGGGATCACAGAGGGTGGGAAAGGGATAGAGGAGATGCCCCCCCAAAAAAAATCATGACAGGAACATCAGTAGCTTCTTGATATTACTAGGGTTTACACAGTAAGGCTAACTAAACTGAGTCCCAGTTCATCAATTTTGCAGCACCAAAGAATACTGAATTTTCTAAACAGTCTACAGAGATGATTCTAGATATATTTTTTGTAGCTCTGCTTCTCTTCTACAGCGCAAGCTACGAGCACAAAAGGGCACACTGACAGATCTTAAGGTCCTGCCATTGAGAAAGAGAATATAGACGTTGGGATCCATTATGGTTTCATCTCCCTTGAGACTGTGAGCGTAACAGGGGTGTTTCCTCACTTTGGGCCTAGGAGGGTTGTAAGCAGAATGCATGCTGAGGGAAGAGAGTGGCAGCGGGAGCCCTACAGTGCAGAGAGGAACCACCTTCGGGAACACGGGGCTGCTCCGGGGTCTTTCAGGTCTGTCTTGTTAAACATGGATAAAAAGATCATCTCTGGGATGCAACTCATTCATTGATTGTAAAAAAGAAAAACCTAAAACACTTGGTAATTTCAAGTGCTATTTTGGCCATCTGTGGTTCCTCCCGTTGGCCATCAGCCCCAGTCCTTGATCATATACAGCCAGTTCAGAACCTAGCACCGAAGTTTCAGAGTCATTGACTAGACGGCTCATACTTAGTGCTAGACAGAAAACAGCAACGCCCGGTGATTTATCTCCAGCTGTCTGCGGCCTGGGATAAATTTGCAAGTATTAACATTGCCTCAAAAGATGTTTCTAGCTAGAATACTTGCTGAGAAGCCAAGTTTTTCCGGATGAAAAAAGATTCAAATGATCATCTATTAATTAATTCTTAAACCTTGTCTTCTGTGGAACTTTGGTAGACTCTTTACTGACAGTCCTAAACGCTCACCTTTTTCATTTCTACAAAGGATGAAATGATTTTCCTCCCCTTAGGGACTGTGGGGAGAAATGAAGGAAGCTCATGTTTCCTTTTCAAAGAAGCAATTAGGAATTTCAGAGACCAATATTTTCGGTAGGGCTCTAGTTCCCAGCCCCTTGTCCTCCAGAGACCAATTACTTGTCACCTCCAGTCTCACTGTCTGGTCAGTTGCTGCATCCCTCTGAAGTCCCCTTTCTTAATAATAAAAGAGAGGTGGCAGTTCCCACCCACGCTCACAGGACAAGTTACTGGGTGTGTGTCCACACCCCGCACACAGCTCACTGTGCATAGCAGCCTTTGCTTTGCATTTGAAAAGACCAAATGAATAAACCAACTATTTTCAAATAGCTAGGCTTGAGTAGCAGCTTTGGAGACAGTGCACTCATTCACGTAATACAGCCATTCAAAAGACACACCGCTCATATAGATGTGGGGAAGATGGCTTCTTTTAAACGTATTTTTTCTGGGGGAGATGCATCTTAAGAGTGGAATGTGAGAAACTATTGCTTCTCTAGACAGGTTATGTATGGTCCTACTGTCACAGTCCCAAAGATCGGGAGTCAGGGAAAGATAAAGTTGCATGGAAACTTTAGAACTTGTCCTGAGGGATTTTTTTCCTTCCTGGTTCTGACAGCACCCTAAAAGGAAACGTGACACTGAGGCAACCTCAAGAGACACATCAAGTGGCTACTAAAAATACACTCTGAATTAATGGAACATCAAACGGTATCTAAATAGTCTAAAAGTCTAAAGACTTTTGATTAACATAAATGTCCATTGCTCTGTAATTCCTTAGGAGCTGTGAGCCACAGGTCCTTCTGGGCACATAAAGACAAGATAAGCTCACAGCTCCCCCAGCTGTGTGTTCTTGCCCTCCCTCTCCAGAGGGAGTTCACCACCTGAATCCCTAACACTATCCATAGACCCTTGCCTGGAGAGAGCACCTGTCCTTCCACCCACGGTCCCCTGGGGACTTCAGTCAATCAAGTCTCTTTGGAGAAGTAGGGCCTCCCGCTTGGAATTTAGAACGCTAAGTTAAAATCCAAAACCCTGGCCTGCTGAGCAGAGTTTTACAGAGGAAGAACTCCGAAATTTCCTGAGGTGCAGGAGCCAAGGAACTAAGTGGGAAGACTACTGCCTTAACAGCAGGTCTCAACAAAGAACTAAGAGGGGGGCAACTAGAGCCCCTGCTGGCTCTTGGAGGAAGCACAGGCTCTCTGCAGCCCCCTTTGTCCCATTGTATTACTTTCTGGGAGTCCTCGAATCTTGTTTAAAAACCGCTGAGACTGAGGCGGGGTTAGCCTTTTGAGCAGATCCGGGACACATAACTAGTACCTCTATGCTCTGCCAGGCGATTGGAGGTAGAGCTGCAGAGCCTTTGAAGAAAAGCAGGGAGGAAAATCTCTACCCAACTTCTAGACAGGAACCACAAACTCTCCCCAGCACCTCTCAAACTCAAAGTTAACTTTCTTGAGCCACAAATCATGTCTGAGCAAGCTGAGACAAAGTAGAGTGGAGAGGGAAAGAGAGTAGAGGAGTAGGCTGCGAACTCAGTCAAGGGACAAGAAGAGCTGCCTGAGAGCCGCCCAGAGAGCGCTTCCCACTCACCTTGGCATAGCAAAAGCAGATCAGCAGTAAAGGCAGAAGGTAGCCAAAGACGAAAGTGCACACCACATAAGCCTTCTTGTGGAGCTGGTTGGGCCAAAGCTCCCAGCAGAAGGTTTGGTTGCTGTTCCGGTAGAGGCGTTGGTGGTAGGCCACTGGCGAGGCCATGGCAATGGACAGCGCCCAGATGAAGCCCACGCCCAGCAGCGCATTGCGGGACACCCTGAGAGAGGAGGAGCGCCGAGAGTGCACAATGGCCACGTAGCGGTCCACAGACATAGCGGCCAAGGTGAAGATGCTCACGAGCATGGAAACGGTGAAGAAGTAGTGTGTAAACTTGCAGATGAAGGCGCCCAGCACCCAGGTGGGCAGTGCGTACACTGTGGCCTGGAAGGGGATGCAAAAGAGCAGGTAGGCCAGGTCTGCGATGCTCAGGTTGAGAATGAACAGGTTAGTGGTGCTGCGCGGCTTGCCAGGTTTGCTGCGCGCCAGCACAGTGATCACCAGGCTGTTGCCCAGCACGCCCATCGCGAAAATCAGGCCAAACACCACCAACGTGATGAAGTTCTCCACGCCGATGCCGAACAGCAGCCTGGACTCATCAGCGGGAGGCTCTGGGTCGCTCCCGTTCCCCGCGCTGAGATTCAAGGTAGCCAGTTCCATCACTTACTTGGACACCTCTTGGGTGTCTGTGCAACGGAGCGCGCTGGGAAGGTGTGCCAAGCGGGGAAAGCGGGCTCTGGTGGCAGCCAATGATCACCAGGTGGCCCGCCACAGGGCAAGGAGAGCCGGTATCTCCAGCCGGAACCTCCCGCAACCCGCAGGAGAGCAGGGGGTAGCGTCCCGTCCTGCCTGGTGGAACTGTCCTCTATGCCCAGCCTGGCTAAAGAGGGGGCGGTGCTGCAAATACGGAGTTGAGCCTTCCCATGCGGGGGCGATGGGCTCCAGAACACAAGAGGTACGAGTCTGGGCGACTCCGATCGCTGGCAGTCTGCGAGCTGGGCGGGTGGGACTCGTCTGCGCGATCCGCAGGTGGAGAATCTTCTGCGCCTTACCAGTAGGTTCTAATCCCTTGGTAGTCCTGTCCTCCGGCTCCTGCAATGCCTTGGGGTCGCACCTGTTGCTCAGAGCCTCTTCTTCCAGCCGAGCTCCCAGAGCTCTGTGCTACACACCTTCAGTAGTGGAGAAAGTGCTGAGCTTTCCACACTAACAGCCACCTCCCTGCAGCGCTGACGCTGGCGCTGCGGCTCCCTCCGACCTTATCCTAGGTCCTCTGCAGGGCACACACCTCACTCAGGGGTTCCTAGTAGTGGGCAGAGTTTCTGCTGCGCGGGAGGGACGGTGAGGACTCAGTTGTGTCCCCTCTTTGCCTCCCAGGTCCGGTCTGAAAAATCACAGCTTGCTCTCTGAGCCTGGGCGCCCTCACCCGGATGAATGGCACCCCACCTCCTTGCTGTAACTGGGGTACTGGCTCTCAATGCAGTCCTCCTAGTCCCACGAAGGCCAGACTGTTGGTACTGGGAGCCGACCTGAGTGCGCTCCTGTGCCTGTGCGCAACTGGATGAGGTGACAGGTTGCGCAGCCTTTCTGCCAATTGGTGCCTTTGGTCTTTCCCTCTCCCAGTAAGACCAGAAATAAACCCCACGGAAATCAAAGGTTGGTCCAGCTACCGGAGGTTCTGTGACATTCGCTGCCTCCTTCCCTCCCTCATCCAGTCACAAGCGAGGGAGGGAAGAGGCAGGGATCAAAGGAGCACCGCCTGGGTGAGTTTTCATTAGGAGCGTGTCCTGCTCACACCGCCTCGGAGAAGCAATCATTTCCAGCAGACATTACTCATCTGAGTGACACAAACGGAAGCCTTGACAATGGATGTGTTTGCAAAGAGTCATTTGAAAGTGTTGAACGTCCACCACCGCTGAAACCAGGGCACACCAACCAGAAACAGCTGTGTATCCGTCAGCACACATCTAAAGAAAAGCCTGCCCTTGCTGGTACTCCGTGTCGGTAGGGGGTAGTCACATCGCTTTCAAATAACACCACCGTCCTCCAGCGTGTAAGTGACCACAACTGCTGGGCACAGGGCCCAAGGAAGAGCAAGCACAGAAGGGTAGGACAGGGTTCCTGGAGCAGCTGAGTCCCGGAGATTGGCATGTAGCACCGGGACTTCAGGGAAAGTGTGCAGGACTGTGAGGGAGGAGTGGCTTTTCCTTGGGGAATCTGGGGCCAAGCAGGACCTCAGTTCTCCCCCTCACCAGCTCTCTGATTCCACACTGCTTGGGAAACTCTTTAGTCATGCTTTGTATGCTGGCTAGTTCTCTGCTCTTCTGCTTAATGCAAGGAGCTCCCTGTTTACAAAAAGATTTTGTATCCATTTTATGGAGTATGGAATTGTCGTCTTTCCCAGCATTCACCTGCCCTAGAAGGATGGAGCTGTGTTACCAGTTGTCATGCCTTTCTTTCTCCCCAGCAACGCTCTGCAACCTGCAGCTCCCCGGAGTTCTGTTCTGTCCACAGTTCCACTTTAAAGGCCATATATAATGTCTTGGGGGAGTGGCTTAACCTTGGGGTTTCTATTTTGCTTTATTTTGGGGTGTGGGGGGGGCGGGGGCGGCGGCGGTGGACCTGGGAGCTGGTTGTACCCAGGGCTTCAAGCATCTTGGGCAAACACTCTACCAGTGATCAATATCCCCAGCAAGAACTTAATGGATTTTGCTCTTGTTTTTGTTTTCATGTGATGTAAACTTTTCATTAATTATGTGAGTGTGTGTGTGCATATGTGTGTGCGTGTGCAGAGTGTGTCTCCGTGTGTACTCATGGTGGTCGGAGGAAATCTGTCAAGAGTTGTTTCCTTCCTTCCACCATGGGCTCTGGGGTTAGAACTCAGCTATCAGGTCTACTTGGGACATGCTTTTTTCCCACTGAGCCAACTCCTCAGCCCCCTATGGATAATTTTTGACATAAAAAGGCATATCATGATATTATATCATTCCTACAAGTGCACCACCCAGCTTAAAATACTTAAAAACTTACCAATATCCTTGAAGTTATTTCATAAACTGTCTAATGACAACCTCCACCACAGCCAGCTAACTGTGTGGACCATTGCTCATTTCCAAAGGTACATGTGATTGATACATATGTTCTTCAAAGACATTCTCTAGTGGGGATGGAGGGGGACTTCATTTTTCCTTTAGTAGCGTGAGATATGGTTTGCCTTGCGATTTACATTTTGTCTCGGTTTGCCTTCGGTAGGTTTTGTCTGTCCTTGTTTTAGATGAGCCATCATTTAGTGAAAAGCATCTGTCTCTTTTTTTTTTTTTGCACTCCTCACTCATCCTGTGATAGCTTCAGAGCAGCACACAAAGGAGAGACTCAAATCCAATGTGCCCATCTGTTCCTAACTGGTGAGTTTGGTCCATTTCTGTGTGTTGCTGTCATGGATCCAAGTCCATTGATTTGTTGACATTCCCTGGACACTTGGCATCTCTGTTTTGTCTTCCACAAGCTGCTCCCTCTGGTGTTCTTTCACTAGAATGTTCTAGAGTCCCATCATGAGAGCTTTCTCCTGGCTTCTGCAAGATCCTGCCCCAAGGTCAGCTTCTCACAGGGGTTTCTCCAGACCATCCTGTCATTTCACTCCCAAGTTACTGTGTCTCCTTGCCTTTCTTTCTCCCCCTTCTGCAGTCTTTTTAGATGCCTTCTCCACAATAGAGATGGGGTTGGCAAGCATGAAATGTACAGGATAGTCTGGAAATCATGCAACACTCAGAGCCAGATACATGCATTCTATTAGAACCACTATCTTTCCATTAGATAATAGAAATTAAAAATTACTTTCTGTAATTCACTCCCAGTTCAGCCTCAGGTTGGTGTAATGCCCATCACCCCAGCTCCCCTGACTCTGTAGCCCAGTTGCTTTCTGAACTCCCCTCTGCTGGAGATCATCACTAAACTGCCAAAGCCCATTTTCTTCACCCAGAACTTGTAGCTGACTGCCTCCACCTCCTCGACTGGCCCATTGGAAGCTCTTCTCCCTTGGTCACAGCACATTTCAATTCTTCCTTTAGAGGAGAGCAGTGGTGGGAAGTGCTTGGTCTTTATTACCAGCAGCACTTGACCAAATGGTTCTTTCCTTAGCCCTTGTTTTTGTCCCCAAGACATAACAAAGTTGATTTAATACGGGTGCCTTGGGACGTACAAAGAAGAATTACACTCCAGAGAAGCACAAGGGTCCAAGACCCCAGAGAAGAACCTGCTCCTTCCTCCTGATCTCAGAATGCCAGCACAGCTCTCTGGTTTTCCTTTCATAATTTGCTTCCCTTGCTGTCTTGCTGTATATTCATATAACCCTGCCCCCCCTCTATGAGCTCCATCGGGTACAGAAATGATTCACGCCCACTCCCAGCAGGCTTTATTGCACTCAAGGAGCAACTCCCAAACTTACCATGAAAGGTTCATTTTTCAGTCCCATCAAGAATCTGCCACCGTGAACAACTCTCTCCTTCACATAGTGACATTTTACCTCAGCAACAAGTCAAGTCAATTACAACCACCAAAGGTTATTTCTTGTTCATGCAACATTTAGCCTTGGGCTAGCTAAAATTCTGTTCTTCATCCCGTGGTACCTGTTCTGCATGAATGTGCTGTCATCCGACCGTAGAATGCCGTAGCATTTCACACTATTCATTAGCTCTGCTGACCTCAGGGCAACCTTGTCATATGCCTCTAGTGTTTATTAATCAATTAGTCATCATGGGGTTCCTTCTCTAGGATTGAAGTGCAGGAAACTCAGAGGGACAGAGGAATTCATGGCACAGCTTTTCTGAAGTAGCATGTCGTACGTCAAATGGTGATGAACACATACATAAAAGTACATTAATCATAATTCTACAAGTCAACAATTGTTCGAGGGTCCTGTAAATGTTGCTGAAAGCTATACTTATGCATTAACTAAAAAAAATGCCAAATGCTTCAAAAAGGGGATTTGTACTTCAAGTCATACACTTGCACAAGCATCTAAGGGGAAGAAGGCAAGACCCCTCTGGAGATCGTGGCCTCCTTGGCAGCACGCTCCACACTCTCTCATCAAGCAATTTGAGAGAGAAAAAAGCAGGATGGTCAGGCTGTAAAACATGGAAGCTGCCTGAGAGATAGAAAGGGAGAAAACCGTGCCTTTTAAATTGAGGTCCAAGAAAGTCCACCGGACTCAGCAATGTAGCTCAGCAGGCAGCTGCATGGCAGGACATGGTAGAGGGTAAAGTTTCATAGAGAACAAATGAAAAGGCCCAGAGTGTCAGGGAAAGCCTGCCCTGCCTCTGCTCAGACAAAAAGGACAAGGCTTTCTGAGTTAGGAAAAGTAGGCACACTGGTGCTGTAGTCCTCCTGGCAAGTGGGCAGGCATGGCCAGCAGCAGCAGCAGCCAGGCCCTCACTCTGCACTGAGACAATGCAGGGGACTGGCCGGTGTTGCTGTGGCTCTTTCCAGCCGTGTGGATTCACCCACATGGTGTGATGCCCCCTGCAGTACAGCATTGACTTCCAGTTAATTAAGATGAAGAAACGACTGTTTTCCAACTTACATAAGTGATATTTTTATCTTCAACACTCTTTGGAAACAAGGTTTGTTTTTTTTTTTCCTTTGATTTTGTCTTCTCTTCTTTTAAA